CACGCATGGCAGAAGCAATGTATTAGCAACGAAGTTCGTCAAATAGTGTTTGGTCATGAACACCAGCCTTTTTCTGCGAACATGCTTCCGATGCTGACCCTCCTTAAGAACGCCCGAGTGGTTTAGACTAGGAAGGTTATAATTCGGCAATAGATGTCAGAAATATCTCCGTTGGATTGATCTGGTGACTGGAGTTGAAATGTTCATGTCCAGGTTTCACTTCAGACTAATCCGTCGTTGATGAATTTCCGTCATCAGAAACCATCATCGTATTAGTATCAAACTGCTGCAGTTCGGTTCAGTAATACCAAGGGTTCGTTAGTTTCAGCTTCTAGAGGCACCTAAAATAAGAAGTTAGGGGAGACATAGCCAGGCGTTGGGAGTGATGGCATAATCAGTCAGTCGAATCATTTCACATAGCTGGTGAAGGAGAAGACTGGGCAGCTCCGCACTGAGGACGACCAGATGGATGCGGGAATGCCGCTGACTGCGCCTGAGGCACGTCTGCCAGTGTCGTTAAACGTTGATTAATCGGGGGTTCTCATGCGTGGCAGCTCTCTGTTAGACTGAGGTTACCGATTAGTGTTTTCATACTTTGCCGCCTGGTCATAGATTGTACGCCCCTTGGTCGTTTCCACTCGGCACAGGGTTGGGCACTGACAGCTGTGAGTTTGGTATCCAGTTGACATACTAGGTATGTATCTTAACAAACGCAACCTATAGAGTATGTTTATCTTCTCTATCTTGGGAGAGTTCCTTCCTAAAACTACCTGGCATGCTTCAGCACTGCTAATCCGTTGTTGTCATCATACCAACAGACGCCGAGGGGGTACCTCAAATTCCCGATTCATAAGGCAGTATGGATCGCACTGTCGCAAAATGTACCAGACCTCTGTTAGGCAAGCTGACATCACACCAGTGCAGTAGATCGTGAAAGGAAAGGCTGTCCTAGTGTACTCGATTCTAGAACGGAGTTTGTCTCCAGACAATCCTCTTAGTCCATACAACTGCCTGGTTACATATACTTACCTCCACACTCTACTGGCCGAGTTTTGAGTGAGGTTTTTTTCATTCGACTGCTGTTCCAGCTCCAGTGCCTTAGTACCGGAAAAAAGACACCGACAAGGAACACAACAGCTTTATTGCAAGAAGCAATTGCGTGCGAGCGCAAAATTTACAACGGTCTCGCGCTATCTAACGAGCGCTTTTTGACGTTGATCCATGCTGTCTGATCGGCGTTTAGTGAACACCCATCAACATCCGCTGGGCTTCTATGAAATGCTTGGAAGCTTATGCTTCTGTGGTATGTCTGAACGCTCATGTACTTTTGCTAAGTGATTGGGTGATTGACTGGTCTGGATGCTTGCCGGTCTCCCTATTGAGATTTTGATGGAGTTTTAGGGTGTCAGCAGCTTCCGGGCATTTTGTGGTTATTTTCAGGAATGTTGCTTTCTCGACAGATTTGATGCTCCTAGTCATGTAGCAACACATTACACTGTGTAGGTGTGAAACGTGTACCACCTATGCGGCAGAATCATTCGGATTGTTTAAAATGGCCTGCGTCTCTGAAGGATCCGAACTAAATAGAGTAATGTCTGCGTACTGATCGGACGCATTCCGGCCCACGGGATTTCCAGAGAGTGCATAGAAGTTCCAGGCAGCATATCAATAGAGTTGAAGTGGACTGATGGGCAGGGTTAGCTTGTCTTACAAGTGGTAAACAACGGCCAAAACCAACCCTATACACGTGCGTGCATGCCGAACCTTGGTCTACCTGGAAAGGTTTGGTTCCCCATTCCTCCTTCAGAATGGCACAAACTGTGAAGTGGATGCTGTATGACTTGGCAGAAGGGTGTGAGAATGATTAGGAAGACTTCAGGTACTGTTGGTACGGTCCGTCTTCTAGGATGAGGTCCCCATGATCTCCCTGTGCTTTGGTGTGGCAAGAAATGGCAACTAATAGACTTCACTGGTGTTCGTGCTGTCGATTCTTTCTGCGGTGACTTAAAGGTGTAGGCATCTCGTGATACTTGTAGTGGGCTTGCACCGACTTCCTCCCTTATACAGTTTTTTCGTGTCTTCTTACCTGAAGGCTTTAAGTATAATTAAATAAACTTTGTAGTTTTGTGACACCGAAGCACCAATGTTTACACTGACGTTGCTATCCTTAATGGCGATGATGATTCGAGTTGATCAATTGGGGAATCCCGCTGCAAGGCTTCAAAAGCCGATCATTCAACGTCTGTGTTATAACCATATACACGTCGACGCTTGGCTCTGAGCGGGACGTCAAAGATGAATTTTTCGGCACGCTCCAAACGGCGGTTGTTGAAATACCGAAACGCAACATGCTTGTTTTTGCCGATGACTGGAACGCCGACACCTCATTGCGCAATATTCTTGGGAATTACCATCTGTCCTCTCACTGTGAAACTGGTGATCTACTCTGTAACTTCACTGACGCCAGTCGGTCTTGTGTCACCAACACGTGGCTCCAAAACCGGCTAACCTGGTACTCAGCTTGTAACACAGCTCACCAGAGTGACTGCATCCTAGCGGGATCTAGATAGAAATGTGTAGACAGTCACGCTTTTTCGGAGAAACATGCAGGGACCGAGGCAGGATCATATCATATTCTCTTTCGAAACTGCACCATATCGACGGAAGGACTGGATCTCCGAGCACACATTGCGCCTATCAAGGCAAACGAGCGAGGCGAGGTTGGTCAGACACACCAAACTACCGCACTCTTAGTCGTCAAACAGTGTGACCTGCCAAGAACAACTAAAATCGCTCCTGGACTAAAGGAGATCAGTACGGGAGCTTTGTCAAACATCTTTGAATATGCGCAGCTTTTTCGTTCTTTACATCAAACCTGTGGAAAACGATTACATGATCAACCCATCCTACACACTTAACCTGGCGACATCAGTCCTGATACCAGCAGTAGACTTTTCCAAGTGAATAAATAATGTAACCGTTCGACCGTAAGACCCTTTCAGTGCCTAGCTGCCATGCCACCCGAAGGAAGCACGGAGACCAGGATACGGTCAGGTTGTTCAAGCCTAGACAGGAGAAGTCGAGGTGCAGAGATCAGGTTCCGGACTATCCGATCAGTAAATTTGCGCTCTAACAATTGTGCTATCTCGCCAGACTGAGTGGAACATTAGGAATGGCACTCGCTAGCATGCGTCGCCATGAAATCCTCTTCGTCACACGACTCCAACTGTGTCTCTCCAAAAAAGAGCTAACCAAAATCGCTGATAGGCACACCTCTGCCAAGAGGTGTGCACTACTGCCCTTCTGGTGCTACTGCATTAACTGTTCTGAGTATTATGGATTCGCAGTGTTTCCATCTCGCTGGAGCATCTGTATTTTAACTTTATGAAAAAGTAGTACCGTGGCATAATTTTATTGGATGTAGTTTTTCAAAATAATCATCCTCATGAATCGCTTTGCTAGCGCAAAACACGCACCACACTAAATCTTTGCTCAGAAAAAAAGTTGTACTGAGCAAATCTCCGTTCTATGTTATGTTCTAGAGCAATGGCACTAATCCCAACAGCCAGCTGTCATCTGCTTCGTGGTCTTCCGGTGAGAAACATCGTGTAACTTAATATCAGTTGACTGGATAATTCGCCAAGTTGTCAACCAACACCACAGGGTGGAGACTGGACAAGGTGTATTTATCACGGATCTTGGATTCGAGGTTATTATGTCCTCGATTCAGATCACGACAATCCACTGCAGGTCCTCAATAGGACTGTCAGTCGGCTTTTTCCGTCGGCCATAAGACCAACACCTCAAAGACTAAGGTCTGATCATCATCGGACCGCTTACATTAAACGGGCTGCTACTAGGGAGTGCTTGCGAGTTCGAGTACCTCGGCTCAACCATCCTCCGGAACAGCCTAGTCAAGGATTACGTTACGACCCGATTCGGCAGTGATTGTTGAGCGTCCATAAAACTTAAGCATGTACAATGGCACACAAAGGAAACTGAACTGAAGACTAATGTCCATATCCATCAGTCTGTCATCAGACCTGCCCTGCTTTATACTTTGGAGCCTGGCAGATGTGTCCCAACCACCTTTAAGATGGAGATTTTCAACTACTGGTGTTTGAGAAACGCCGTCAGGGTGGTATGTTGAATGAAGTGGTCTGCCGTCGATACTTTGGCATCACTCGGCTCGAACAACCAACCAATCAAACTCGGCTACGACAGTTTAGAAACATTTTTCGCCGCCCACAAAAAGACATCGTTAAGGTCGTTGTGGCTCCCAAACCGCGTTATCACCGATGCGGTCACCTGAAAACCTGCAATAACTCTGTTAAAGCCGTTGTTGAACGTCTGTGTCTACTGGCTGTCTACGCCCCTTCCCATGGAACTGACAGTGGATCAGTATCTGTGAGAGTCTTGCCGCCGACCGCCGTGCTTTGACAGCTGCGGTTTGAGAGGCTGGATAGGAGGTAACTGAAGTAAGGCAAACTAAAAAACTCAGTCTTTTTATGTTACAAGTGACTATACACTAATCAATTTTTGAAATTTTTACGACCCTTGTATATATATTGCTAGTTCCAATAACAACAGATGAAATTTATGGCTCTAGAATTGATGAGCTCTAGGTTTTTTTAGGATGACCGGACCGCTTGTTTGCACCAACACCTGTTAGGAACAGTCTTTGCAAATGTTCATATTGCGGTGCTGGGGACTATGGAGTGTTTATCTGTTTTTTAGGGTCCCACAACTATGAATATAATGCTGTAGACCGAGTCCTTATATTAATCCAAGTTTCTAGATTCACTTGCTAGGTAGTACTAGATTTGGCGTCAGAAGCTGCCTTAAGGTGCATGCCCATTAGACCGCATTGCAGACTATCGTGTGGTTGTGGGTTCCTGTCCTTTTCCATAGGTGCATGTAAGCATGGTGATACTTAAGTCCATATGCAATCACACTTTACTTTTCTTCGTTTTCCAGACAACATTGGGCCCTCCAGAGCGATTAAATGGTATCACACGTTATTACTATCAAATTGACGAAAAACTGGAAGACCGCTCTGGGAATTCTGGCAACTGGTGGAGTGGTAATAGGATTTTCTTACTGGTTATGGATTCGGTGGACAGCCTCTGGAGACCAACCCTCCGTAACAGCCTCTTATTCGTTAAATGAGCCAACTGCTGATATAAACACTTTTCCTCGGGTGCACAGAACACTCAGACAGCAACTTACCGGGTCTGGAAGCTCACGGACTTCCGTGACAGGCAGACTGTCGTCGGTTTTCCGTCAGAAACCTCCAGCAACCGCTGCGTTAACCCATGATTCGGATGCTGATGATGATGGTTCTTCATCCAATCTGGACTGGGGCCGGCTTGGATTACGTGCGCTTGCTGCGGTTGTTGAGCACTTGGAAACACTAATGTCTAGGATACGTGTGTACGAGGAACGGGGTCAAATGCAGATGTCTGATAACTCGGGTCAGTTGATTTCTGAATTGAGACTGCTTCTGGAGCAGGCATATCAATTACGGGAACAGTATAGGCGCAAGCTCATCCTACAGGATCAGGACTACACGACTGAAGCTGCTGACAGCGAATTTTCTACAGATGATGATACTTGTTCCTATTTTTCCGCCCTTGAACAAATTGATTTGAGCGAGCTGGAGATTGAGATATCGCGTAATCTTCTCCGACCCATCTACCGTGATGCCCTCGAGCTGTTGGATAAGAGTGAGATACCTTACAGGTAGGTTGTCCTAACACTGATCTGATGGTGACCAAATAAGTCTTCTCTAAGTAGGCCCCCGGATTTCATCATCTCAATACAACAAGCTTAATTTTGCTTCCTCGAGGGTGTCGCATTTGCTCAAACCGCTTATTAACTCCGTTTATATTGCCACTTGTTGACACATTTGTTCGGACACATGTGCCTCTGAAGGCACTCTATCCCTGTATTGTCGCAGAATGATTAAGGCATTCAATCCCTTAGCATGCACTTGTGTTTTCAGCCTCTGAGGGTGAGGCTCGGGAGGCATACTTCGGTATGGGTGAAGGTTCTGGCTGCTAAGGTTCCCTAAAGAGGTTGGAGTATCTTGTATTTGGTTTTTAATATAGGCTACAGTAAACGAAGAAAGCGGTCTTCAACCAAGACCTAGAATTAGTCTGGATTCCGTCTATGTTGCGCAAGGTCAAAGTAGTATAACTTCTTTCGTCAAACTTAATCAGTTTACTAAGGTATTAAACTAATATTTTTTTGTTTTCCATGGAGTGCAATGCTGGTTCGTCTCCCACTCGACTTTCCTATCTTGGTTTCAGCACTCATCTGCAGCTATTCCAGTCAGCCTAATTACTTTTGATTTCTCCCCTTCCCCTAAGGTCCCTCCGAACTCAACTTGTTGGTTGTGAGCGAGATTTCGAATACCTGGCGAAACTACACTGCCTTCGACAGGCATTCGACTACATTTTCCAGCAACCTGAGCCAACGGACTGGTTATGTTCTGTTGGAAAGCTCACAGGTTTACGTCTGCTCCATTGTTTGGGCTATCCCACATCGGATTTTGAGGAGGCCTACGAGTAAGTTTTCAGTAAGCATCAAAGTGGTGTACATTGGGACCGGATGTCCATTGACGGGGACCATAATACAACTTACAAACCAAGCGTATGCAGGGATATAAGGTCACGATAGTACTAGCGATTGATTCTACTTGAGTAGTGGTTCTGTACGTGAAAAAAAGCTGGTGTCCCAACCCAGAAGCTTGTGTGATGAAGCCTTTGTAGATCGGGTGGTTGCATGAGTGAGCTAATTAATATATGTAGTAGTGAGAACGATAAGGCAGGGCAACGCTTAATGACAGCATTTTTTTCGGAACGAAAAGGTCTTCATGGATAGCATTACTTAACCTGCCCTTTGCCGTTTTCAGCACAGAACTGCCTAACTAGTCAATGTATGTACGTTTAGCATAGAGTCAGTTAAGATGGGTAGTTGAGCGTTCGCTGAAGTCTTGACCAGCTGAGTATTGTGGGGATCTGCGGAAATAAGTAGTAGGAGGGTGTCCCAGAGCCGCGAATTTCTGGGGGGATACAAGTATTAGGAGCTGGGAACGTCACTTCTTTCACGTCGCGCTATTTTCCCTCTAAATGACCGTGGTTATCGTTTTGCATCATCAGCTGTAAAGGCTCTTATGTTAGCTTGGTTCGATATTGTTGGGCTATGGAAGCTTGTTGCAAGTGATGCTCTGGTTGTACCCGAGTCGTCCTGAATGATCCGAAAAGAAAGTGAATTGCTATTGGGGTCTGCATTATGGCATGGCTAGAATCAGGATGTGCACTCCAGAAGAAACAATACTGTCGAATTGATCTAGCTGCTCTTTGTTAGGCTACTCTTTTTTAGTCTTCGTGGCATGGTTTAAACTCGAGTCACGGAGTTTTAACTAATATAGCCCATGGAATTATTGCGGCAACCAAGTCTCAGCAGTAGGTCATGGGAACAGCGTGCGGTCGCGAACTAACAATCCTTCTATCCACTACTAAGATTCCAGCAATTGTCCTAGTCGATGGAGATCTCAGCGCACAGGTAGGTCGTCTGAGCTCATTGGAGACGAGACTTGGTGTTCCTTTCAATTTGGGTTCAGGACATAATATTGACAATGAATATTTTGCAACTTTGTCCTGACCAGTGCTCGTCCGTTAACAGTTTGGGGGGCTGTAAATGCTTTTAGGCTACCTAGCCTGTTGGTTATTCATGAGATAGCCGGCTTACCAGCTAAGATATCTTTGGGTCTCAAACTTAGTGCGTACTGGGCTGTAGTAAGGTATTTATTGGTTGGCCACGAGAAGTGATTTCTATGGGCAGGTAGTCTTCAGGTTTCCGACCGCCGATGACTCAGAGCGTTCCTGGTTTCGGATGATATCGATGTAGCGACGTAATTAGAAAACGGGTAGCTGGTTGTGCATAAGTTACTTCAGTCACGGAAAACATCCAGCATTACAAGCTTGAGTGGCTTGCTCATGTTCTAGGCGTGTCAACTCATCGTGCGCACAATCCTCGTAATGACGAAACTGACGAGGCAGACAGCGCATGACTTGGTAGGATGGTATGAGTGATATTGCGAAGAATTTGGGTGTTGTTGGTGGGGTGGGTGGGTCCAACTCCAGTGGGAGTGGGTCCCAGTGACCCCCCCATCGCTTGTGCTTGATTGGTGACGTTGCAATAAATGACGGCTAATCGATATTAGTGGCTTTGAGTTTCTTTCATTGGACGTTTGGATGTGTCATGACGGAATTTTCGGAGTAGACTGTCAACTTAAAGATTTGAAATAATCAATTATGTTTTGCGATAACACGGCAGTGAAACTTCATTGTCAACACTGAGGATGCCGTCTCCGATGTTGGTGATGATGATCCACCCCCTAGAATGAAGCAGCAATGATGACCACCACGACCGCCCTAACTGATCATGTCTAATAGAAATATTCTGGAAGCCATCCGTCGAAATGAAGTTTATGCATAAGGGAGTGCGCAAGCTTGCCTCCCCCCTTAGACCATCTTAACTACTACTACTTGTCTGAGGCATGAAAATTTGGGATGTATGTGTTTGGAGTTAGTAGTGTAGAATGGAATTCGGCGATATTCTTGTTACTCGTTTTTTGACTGCCGAACTCGTTTCATGAAATGTTATGTGGTCTGTCCCATTTTATAATCTAGGCGTTCAGTGTATAACTCTTGTAGTTGGGTGTATTTTCGACGTTCAACGGTCTGACGGAAACTTATCTATGGGAAGTGAAACATGGGTGAAACACATGAAGCGGCTTGTCAAACTATGGATGGCTTATTATATACGTACCGTTTCACCCACGCGTGTTTCCCTAAGGAGGGAACTTAGAATCAGTCTTATCCACCAGATTTTTGTTGATCGTTTACACATGTTTAGCATTATTGGACTTTCTACTTTGTAGGTCAGGTGACCTATCTCCTCCTCCACGTTTGCTCATTTTAGGCGATTGGTCAGTTTTGTCAACACTCAGCGACGCGAGCTGAAACCAACCATGAGCGAAGAACTTTTTGCAAAGGGCGTGAAAGTAGTCAATTTCTACGATGTTGTGATCGACCTTATGTTACTTGAAGCACTTGAGTTGCTCGCAGATCCTCCGGCCTCTGTACTCTCGGTGACGAGACATCGCTGGCTGAGTGATAATTTCAAAAAGGTAGCCCTGGATTCGACCATTTGGACTATATTGTTAGCGAAACGAAAATTGTTGAAGTACACTGATGGTTTCTATGCGCACTACTACACATTAGTTGGTACGATCACACCGGCACTTGCTTGGGGATTTCTTGGACCGGATGAAGGCGCTTTGCGTTTGTGTAATCGCTTCCGGGATGCCATTAATGCTTTTTTGCAGGAGGCTTTTACGTGTTCGGACGAATACGGTGCAGAGCGTGCGAGACGTGATGTAACACCAACGGACACTATGCACGAGACACTCCAGGACACTTTGAATGGATATTCGTATTCAGTTGATGGGCTTATAGAAGAGCAAACTGAACCTGGTCAATTGGATGAAGTTGTGTATGAAGACACGGATGATGCGGATGATCAAAGTACTGTCATTGATCAAGCTCCACTCATTTCTGACGTGGTAAATCACGCATCAACACCTTCTAAGTCCACCCGCACCGGTCTCCGTTATACTACCGTTTCTGAGCTAGCGGACGATCTTTTTAGTCTGTTCGTCAATTACATAAATGGGCTAACCAGGATGTTTCGAGAAGAGGCCCGAATCGCGAAAAAGCCTCTACCAGATGAGTATTTAGCTAATCCTGCTCCGCCGCCCCTTCGCATTCTCTAACTAATGTCGCCGCGTCCGGCTACCCAGTGCCTATGGCTGTGATGTTATTTTTATCCTGTTACCCAAAGGAACGTATTTTCGCTACTTTAATTCCACCTGAAGAATACCAATCAAATTAATTACCAGTTCATTGTACCTCCTATTTTTTCTGGATCTATTGATGTACATACTTTTAAACCATGTTGGTGTAATTTGTACAGTCCTGAAATCAACAGTACAAGATAAATATCTTAACTCGACTACGTTTTTCTCTCCACTGTAGTTTACAAGCTGTACGTCTGTAATTCTTGATATTTGCTTTTCATTCTTACTAACCATCGATGATTGGCGATTTAGCTAGGTGCGATTCTGTTCGGTCACACAGACAGGTCACTCTTCCTCCGAATGGTTTGTTTCTTGTCGCCATATGCCTCCATTCTACTATAAGCAGGTTTACCGTTTACTAATTATTAGGGTGCGAACCTACCGACCGGAAGGTTCGAACATCCTCATCCCGTCTAGGCTTGGGCAGCCTGGCCGTATCTCAGCCCTCATGCTTCCTTTGGGTGGTATGACAACTAGGCAGCGAAATGGTGATGTGGCTGAACGATCGCTATTATTATTATTATTGTTATTATTATTATTACATTTTTGCTTAGTCACTTGTTCGCTTATTTGTTCATCTATTTGTTCGCTAGGGGTGTGTGTGGACTCCTGCGTGAGTCACACCACATGCGTCGTGCTTTGCCGATTTTTACACATTTGATCGGGTTCTATGTGACAGCACATCGTGCTCCTTTGTAGCAATCACCGCTCGAATCTGACCACTTTTTTCTGGCCCATCCAAACTATTATTCTCATCATTATTATAGAAGGACCTCCCACATTTATGGTAGCAACCACTATGACACGTCATCAGTCACATTGTTGCTAGCGTGTCATTAGAAAAGACTAATGTTTATTTTATTCACGGCCGAGCAACGAGCTTACTTTCTGATTACCTCATTTGTAACGCTCATTCTCCTTACCATTTGGCTGTTCGACCCGTAAGGAGCACGATAACTTCTGTACTGCTGGACCGCCTAAGCATGTACGGAAGCAGTCAAGCAGTTAGATTTGCATGCGAATTGCCGGTATTTTCTAAAAGCTCACACTAGTTCGAAGTCTTGAGGACGGTTCAGACGGAATAAAAAGCTCACTGGGTTGAACAGAGATCAAGCCTCGCAATACCGGTCAGCATTTTTGTTGCATCGTTGTTTGTGCTCAACAAACGTTTACGACGAATTTGGTGGTGCTGGAGTAAGCAAAAGTTCTAGAACCAGCGAAGTGTGTGGACTCTCTGAGAGTTTGTCGAAGGGCATGAAAACGAACTAAGTTGTAACAACCGTCTGCCATTCGTTCCGAGGCGACCCACAAGCTCAGTGGCCTCATCTTATGGGTTTCTTGACATGACCTTTTTTAGCCCCGTGCGGTGGCTGCTGATGTTCACTACCTTCCTCTCATTGTTTGGCCCTTGGAAGTGACACCGGTTTATGTTTAGTCGCTTTAGTGGTCCACTACTGGGAACTTGCTGGCTTATTTCACACATCCACAACTGAGGTTCTGAGAGGAAGGAAAACTTCATTCACTCCCTATAACGAGCGCATGTGTCTTCTGCTCATGGTTTTTGCAAATAAACGTTGTTTTGTTGATAACCGTGTCTCACTCCCTGTAGACTTGTGTCTTAGGTTGGGTTTCTTGGGAATAGTTATAACAAGCTTGTTGTACACGAGTTTGTGTTGAGTAGGCACCTCATGGAGCTATTTTGGCGTCGCGTACTGATGCTGTCGACAGAGGAGGAAGGGTGGCACCGTCGCTCGTAACTCAGGTTGCATAGTCCATTCACTGCTCACCTACCCTATTTTTCGGCATTGTTCCACTGTACTTACACAATTTAGTGGATACATTTTCAGATGGATGCTACTGCCGAGTCGGTTGCATCGGCGTTCGCTGTTGTATTGGGCCAAGAGCAGGGTGACCGTCGTTTGGCTGAACAGAGGCTCACTGCTTTGGAAGTATTGGATTGTGAGTTTCCACCGTTTCTGATGGAAAAAATATCTCTTAAGGATCTGCGTTGGACTCGGCAGTGACTGCGTATGCAACCTTATTTTCTCCATCTTCAGCCTACCCTATTGTGTTGGCAAACTTGACAACGGATGAACAAGTGGCTGTCGGAATTCGTCAGCTTGCCGCCATCACCCTCAAACAGTACGTATACAACCACTGGAGTGAAACGGAGTGCCCAAATTTCAAGCCCCCTCAGCCGTCAGATGAAGTATGCTTTCAATCGTTCTGTAATCTCTTGGACGAAATATTCAGTCAAACCTCCAACTTGGCCAGTTAGATGAGACCTAAGCAATATCTTCGCAGCTCCGGTTGCGAATTTCAGCGCTGCAAGTGACTTGTACAGCTAGCGTATCCATAGAGCCTAACTGTAAACTGTTTTGCCTATGACTATCTGAGTGTATTTGTTGGTGTACTGCTGTGTGTAAAAATGAATCGAGGTGACAAGCATGACTAAACTTAGCGCAGGCTGAATGAGAATCCTGCAGTAAAAGTGTACCGCATACATTTGCTTGTAGAAGCCGACTACCGAACTCTAATGGTTGAAGCTACAGTTGTATCTTTGACTTCTAAAAGGTCATAGCACATGTATACACGGGCTGGTCTCTTTTCCAAGTCCTAATAAGTCCTGGATCGTATTCGTCGGGGAACCCTTAAGATAAGAACGCCTGGTAAAAACAGTCCAAAGTTCTAATTGAGTCGCGTTTCGTCCACCTTCTGCAGAAATCTCTTGCCCTAGATGCTCGAATCGAGTCCAATCCACCGTAGGGATGCAGATATCGAAGATTCAGGGAAACTACGGCATTGAATGGGTTCTATCGGCAAATATCGCCATTTAGACGCTAAAAAACCTGGCTGCCACTATCACACCCAATAATTTTAGGCTAGTTCAACCCTCCTTCGAATTACAGCCTAATGGAGTCTGCACGCAACATATAGAGAATCTTGGTAAAGCGTGTTCGGGCCCTAGGGCACTTGTTGCCAAATATGTTTCATCTTGTCTGTCAACGTTGCTGCCATTTGAACGACCAAAACGGCAACCAACGTTGATCGCATCCCTTCCTATTTCATGTAATTACCGGCAACTCAAAGTGCTCAGATCCAATCCGGACTGTTGTGGACTGTATTCTCTTCCAGGGATTCGTAACAAGCGCACTGCTAGTGGTTCCGAATAACGTGGATAAACCCTTTTGGTAGAGGTTGATTTGACTTTGTCTGGTGTCTTTTTGAAACAGCTTGATACTTAGGGACTACGCCGATTTGATCTATCATCTGGATGACCGTTTCAAGAAGCTTGCAATCCTACTTCGTACAGCATTTCAGATGATTGTTCTCTGTCATGTTAGTTCCAAACGCTGCTCAAATAGGCCACTAGAAGTCGCCCCTAGTATAACACCCATTATGTCAACAAAGTAAACGAGTCGGTTTATTTGCAGCCAGAAAGCTCAAGAACGGATTCTGAAAAAGTGGAAGTGGAATGCAATTCATGGATGGAACAACACATGAACTCATTAGCACTTAGAATTTGTTTCAGTGTAGTCCAGCTGGGAAAGAACTAGGTGTGCGGTCCCATTTAAGTGTCCACATTCGAACAAGTTCGAGTTTTAACGATGGTTTGGTAATACGCTCAGCTATACAATGCAGAATGCTGGACCGGATGGTGTACTGATAAATAGATTATGAAATGGATCATCGGTCCCCGACTTGCGTATTAAAACAACTCTCATGCCAACCTTTTAGCTGAAGCATCGTAATCTGGTCACCGTTTACTGATGTTCCCGATACGGAACTTAGAGTCACGCGCAGGTTTGATGGTCTTGAATGTCACTGGGAAGAACTGGGTTTGGAAGTCCAGGGTACTGTACTATAGACAAAAAGTTAGGCAAACCTCAGCAATCCACGTTCGTGGGGTCAACAACTGCACAAGTTTGTCATTGACCGGCCCAGTGCAATGTCCGCATACCAAACAACGGCGAGCGCAATGTTGGCTCGGTAGTGGGGGTTGCGGTCGTCCCTTCTGAGAGCAGTCTCGTGATTCTGATTGGCGTGCGGTTACACGGAAATCATGAGAGAACATGTCGGATGCACGGATACTTATGGGTAAGTAGGTCATCTGCGTACATTGATACACACACTTCGATATGCTAGTGTCGGACGGCATGGCTTTTGGGGGAAGGTGAATGCTAGGTACATGTGAACAAAAGAAGTGGAGATCAAAAGTACATGGACGGATTAGGCAAATGAGTGGGTGAATTATCATGAGATCCAGTTAGACTCGATACCGTCTCAGTGTTGACTGCTGGTTTTTATCTCCTGATCTCGATTGGATACGGATTGAAAATGTAAATGATCCATGCCACTAATTTTCCGGGTAGGTACTTCAGAGAAGTTCTTTGCAGCGATTTTTTCCTTAGTTGGTTGTCTTCCGAGAAAGGGATGAACTGGTTTCAACGCCGTCGACAGCACGACATCAGTGTTCAACACTGATGCTTCGCTCCGTTCGTCACTGTTTTCTAGGTCAAACTCCAAGTTCGCATGCGGCTGCTCCAATCATTAGGCGGTCCAGTGCGTCTCATTCGTACAGCAATTGCTCAATCGATCACAGCGGTTGCCCAATACGACTGGCCAGATAATTGGCCCAATCTACTTGGCGAGTTAACTCGGATGCTCGATGAAGTGGCCATGGGAACCGACCTCAGTCCAGAGCAGTCCAAAGCGATTACTCATGGTGCAATGCAAGCGCTTGTGGGTGAGTTTTCTCTAGGCACCACAATTTATTTTAACGACGCAGAGATAACTACACATTCCATGCCATGCCATACTTGTTTCTTTTTTTTAATTCTTATTTACTAGTCTATAATGATCATAAAAGTGCTTTACTAAATTAATCAGCGCACTGAATTCCACTTACGATGCACCCTGCCCTACCAAGCGAACACTTTATCCAGTCCTCACTGTTCGGAGGTCTCACAGTCTATCGCGAGTTTGCATTTTATGTGTTTTCCTGTTCAACTTGCTTGCACGGATCAGTTCTTTTGAGTCGCTTTCAGATAAACAATAGGGGGTGAAAACTACACTACGAACTTGGATCATTTACCAACTCTGCCAATTGGTGGCACGTGATCCTGCGCCATTCCACGCTCAACGTGGATCACAGACTGGATATGGGACTTAACCACGAACAATTGGGCGTTTGATTGTCTTAGGTGTAGGCACCTCGAGTGTTTGTTGTAGACTAATCTTAGGTCTCCCTCTCCTCCCCATTTTTCTTTGCATTCGAAAACATTATTCAGCTTAATTGGCCTGGTTGTACGCCAGTGAAGTATCAGTGTTCTCGCTTTCGGAGAAGTTTGGTAACAACCGGTAGATTTCTTGCTGGGCAACATTTCCCTTTTGACACAAAAGCTTCGTCAGGCCAGGTGACTAGGTTACGAAGTTGGTCAAGTTTTAAAATGGATTTAGCTAAGTCAAGCTAAATCTCTGTTAGGTGTCGGTCGAGGGATTTTGTGTGTTAGAGTGGGTAACCAAGTGTTAGGAACGTAAATGGATTCGAGTTCGGCCTTTGGTCTAGTTCTTTTGGTTCTGTTCGGTGTTCTCATTTGGTGTTGCTGTCAATTGTGATGACGATGACTCGATTCCATTTCAGAGCCCCTGATAAGCGGCTTCCATGATGGGTCCCATCCAACTTTCAGGATGTGCTTATTTATTTTGAACGTTGTGACAGTCGGTGGTAACGTTCTGGACAACTTGGTCCGGTTAAATGAGCCCGTATGATTTAACTACTAGCTCACTATTATTTCCGTCTGTATCGAATGTCTTATGGTGTAGTATTGCTATGCACTGTTCTTTATTGAGTTTTACTATCTCGAATGTATTTTTTCCACCCTAGGACTCAGTGCGGAAGTTTCAGATCTAGATATACCACAAATAACCCCAGTGCTGATGCCTAGTTTGGTTCGGATTCTCTGTGACGGACAGGTAAGCCCTCTATCATACTTAAGATGTTCCACCCAGGTTGACTGCTATCAAAACATATTTCTCCCGTGAATTTTTGTTCCATCAAATTTTGAATGTATGTGTTAAGTCTCTCACGACTGACCTCCATAAATGCTCTTGACAGGTCTGCTAGTTCGGGCCACAATTTCAATCTCATAACCAGCGTTTGACTAGCAGTTGACACCATGCAAAACTGAATATCCATTCGTTCTGTGGATTCCGACGGGGAGCTCCCGGAGATTTCTCGGATCTCTATGTTTCCAAAAAGACCATATGCTTATATAATTTTAATTGATTGACTCTCATACTGATCGGCTGTACTTCGTTTCAAGATGCTCGGTCAATGCGATTTTGGCATTGGCTAACTGTTCCGAACCTAGCTAGACTGATTGCTAACCGGTTTCCTCCCATTTTCAGCGCTTCGGAGATGCTACTCGCCGGAATGCTGTTTCTGTCATCAGTAATTTGGTCAATACAACACTCAGCCTCAACGACAAGGTGAGCAAGGCCTTTGACCTTACCCGATTGCCGTTGTTTACGGCTAATGTCCAACTACTGTCAAATTTGAAAGTAGCCAACTTATAATTGGTGTTCACCGATTACGGCCATCGATCAAATTGTTTCCGGACTTCACGCTAATGTTGCCAGCATTGATGTCAGTATTCCTTCGTTATCACTGTTATTTATTTACTCCTATATATGAAAGTTAAAGAGAAAGGTGATTTGCAGAGAATGGTTTTCGAGGATGCATTCATGCGTTTTTGAACACAGTGTCTCGCTCAACAAGCAGTGCCTCATATACCATTTCACAATTGCACGTCCACTTCAACTTTGAAGGTCAAATCGTATCTTATTTCCGTAGGTTCGTCACACTAGATTTAGTTGTCTTTACGGGTAGAAGCATCTGTGCGACCCAAGAACCGTTATTACCGACAACCGTTGTCTCAGAACCATAGCTTGTGTGGATTGGTGTCAGCGAATCTGTAATGAGGCATTTAGAAAGCGCGTTTTCGGTTGGGCAACGGGTACTTCTGCTGAAGACTATGTCCAGCACCAGGAGCCGCGTTGGTTGGCATATGTTTTGCTTATGCCGAACCATCGTTTACTGTTTTTCATGCCCAATTCAGCGTGGCCAACCCTTGACTTAGGAGATGAGTATGAAGGAGATCACGAAACACTTGGGTGCAGTTGGTGCTACTCGCCTTCCATTCGTCATATTGCTTGGAAAATCACGCCGTTATTATTACGTTGATTCGATAATTTTTGTATTCGCCGTTCAACATTGTTTTTCTCTAGACTTTTTCCGATGGTCGCTTTCAACATTACCTTTCCTCTTCAAGTGAACCTGCTAATATCAAACCACACTAGCGAGGCTGTTGGACAATTTTCTGCTGGCTGTGATCTTTTATGTGAGCGCCTAAAGAAGGCTCAATGGCACATTTTGTCTTAGCTAATAATTACGCGCACCTAGTTATCTGAGTTCTGGTACTAGCTATTATGGAAATACGAAGCAATCGGACGATGCCACCCAAGGTGTCATCACTTCAGTTTGCAGGGAAGCAGATATAATTGGAGCGATGTGGTCGGATTGAGAAGAAAGGCCGCCTCATACTACCTTACGTTTTAGTCGGAACACATTAGGTTAATACAGATACGTATTCCTTATTTGCTGGCTTTATACTTCCGGCCATTTTTCACAAGTGTCTGCAAACCACTTTGCGCAGCCGATAAAAGCTACCATCTGCCAGAAGCCAACAGACACAGGAACCGTCTTAAACTAGTCATCAGCATACCCAAAGTCGGTGTACGCCAGTATCGCCTCATCGGCGTTTAGTCAAGTCAGAGCGCTGTGCACAGAAGAGATCGACCGAACAGCAGATCAAATCGAGGCTACCAACAGACTTCAATAAATAGAATACTTAATGAGTTTGATTAGGCGGTAATTAAAACGGATTTTGGCTCGGGTAGCTAGACTATCGGAGTTTATTGAAATATTGTTGAACTTAGCCAACGTTCGAGTGGCTTTTCAGAAATGAAATGGGGAAATCCCAACCCGACCGTAGCACTAGCTCATTCACACAGACGGACGAAAAAGTGCGAACGATGTTCAAGAAGAACTATCACGTAAACCGAACCGGAAGGTCTAGACCCCATCGTCTTAACACTTCGTGACCCACCCTTGGCCGACACCTAACACAGATTTAGCTTAACCTAGCTGGTCGGTTCTCCTTCCGCCTTAAATCTCGACCAACCTGGTAGCCTTGTCACTTAGCCCGGCGAAGCGAAATGTTGCCCAGCGGCAAATCTGTCGATTGTTGCCAAACCCTTCGGAAAAATATACCCTTTGCTGGCTTCAGATTTTCGGCCACTTCTCCCAATGGCCTGCAATCCGCCTTGCGTGGCCGACAGATTAGCATTTTGCGTGGTTGTTCGTTTGACCAGCTGTTGACTTTTTGAGGGTCGAATAGTTAGATTGGATCATCTGAATGATCCCGCGCATCTTGCCAATCATTAGGCTATGAGCTTGGAAACTAACCTGTTGTTTTCCATTACGTGAATAAGAAGCTATCGGAAGTGGCGTACTCCAGTGTTCAATGACAGCGGACAGACAGGCTGATTACATAGATGTGATTGGATCCAGGAGAGCCTTTATGTGTATTTGGAGGTTGGCAGCTGGTTAGGCCAAGATTCATCTGGAGATTGATAAGCTTACGCGTAGTTAATTCATGTTTGCAAGGTTCGGATGGAGAGTAACAATTCGAACTTTTCTCATCATATTAAACTTTGTCAATTTTCATCTGTTGGTACGAAAATGTGTCTAGCGCTTTGTGAAGTTAAGCGCTCACTTGCAAATGAAGATGGAGCTCGCATAGGCTGATCTCTCTGTGTTCAGCGAAAGCCCTCGGTTACCGAACGCCAGATTGGACCAAAGGTCCAACACCAAGCTGTAGTTATCTTCTATATCATACTTCTCATTGATAAACGGATAAAGTTCACTTTTATTCACATTTTGTTATTTTAGAGTATCTTCAATGCCGCAGTTGGATGCCATCTTCGTCCGTGTATAAATTCCCTGATTGCGGGCCTCACCTCCACAGATCATTCCTTGGAAGAATCTGCATTTGAGAGTGAGGTCATCCAGGTAGGATATTTCGTGAGATTTTCTTGTGCACTTTGTTATGGGTTTGCTGTTTGTCTGGCTATCTGACCGCAGCAGGCTTCATTGTATGGCTCCATAGCCAAGTTGGCTCTGTGGTTAAGACGCTCGACCGTATTGACTAGACGTAGTTTGCATTCAACTCCGGCATCTCGGCTGTTGCTGTCTACTTGCGGGCAACCTGACAGTAGCTCAGCCTTCGTGCTTCTTTTGGCAGCTAGGCACGGAAAGAATGTCACGGCTGAACGATCACTTATCATTATTTAATTATGACGCTTCCGTTGTTGCTCGTCTTCTGAGATTGTCTATGCCTACTTTTTCTGTCTCCAAACAGCCGCACCTGTCTGTACGGTCGGCTTTTTATGTTTTTTTTTTGTGCGGTCTCTGCGTAGTTAGTATTATAAAGATAGGCGACCAAATGAAATGTGAAATTCAATGTGCCTAGCTGGTACTGTTGTTCTTCGTCTTCATTTCACTGTCTCATCTTGCTCAGTCGTGCTGAAGATGCTTCTAGCCATTCATCCACAACTGATGAGACTGAGTCTTTGCAAAACCGGCCCTCATTCCTAGCCACTTGGTATGGTTTTTATCTCCGATGCTTCAGTTTAAATTGATCGAATGACATGGTGCACGTTTTCACTAACGTGGGAACACCGAAAATGGTGGGGATTAAATGTTCGATAGCGAAACCCATAATTGAACTCCGATTCGTTGTTTCTACATTTTTCAAGTTGGGAATGAATGAATTTCTAATGAATTTCTAATGGGCTTGGTGGGTATCCTTGTGGAAATTTCAAGGTGACTCCACCTGAAGCAAAGGCGTCGCAGGTAATTCACGATACTTCAGATTTTATGCCACGTGTTTGATGCTTGTGGAAAATTATTGTGAGAAATACTGTAAAGTTTTAGCATGAGATAAAACATTGTGTTGGTTACCGTCTGTCAACTCCGGTTAGTGTATTTTTCTCAGGGATAAACACTGAATTTGCGAAACACGTGATTATATGAAGAGCAATGGATCAACTTTCTCGTTTATCGTGACTCGTCTCAGAGCTAGCTTGATGGGTTGTAGTTTCGACCTGTCTGAACCTGTCGTCGAGCACCCAGCATGGAGTCCCAATCAGAGATCCAATGCTTTGAAGAGGTCAGCAGTGAAGCATCGGTGTTGAACTCTGATGTCATGCTGTCGATGATGATGATGATGATGGTCAGCAGAGCTGCACCGTAGATAGATATCCCAATACCACGCGTAGCTTTGGATGTCGCGCTCCAGTGGTCATTGATACTTAATATCAGGTCAGCAGCCGGACATCGGATTTGTGGGTTCTGATATGTTCCGGATCCACCAGCTTCCCAGTGCTCGGTGCGTGTCCTTAAAGTGTAATAAAAAGAATCAGTGGATAAATTCTCTGTCTGAGTTTATCCGGGCATTTCATAGGGAGCGGCAGACGTCACACGTTACTGATGACAACTTACTTTATCTGGGTTCGGAACTGGTTCGTTGGTGGGAACCACGTGGTCAGACGATTTCCGCCACCTCGGAAGCTGGTACTGCGAAGGCGCAGCACCTATCTGCGGTTGACACTCTATGTTGTCCGTTCATGTATTTCCCAATCCACATCGACGACGCGGTTGAGCCTCAATAGCGCTTAGCCCATAAACCTGAGCGTTCCTGCCCGTAGTGATCACATTGTATGTGTCCACTGTAAAACAACATCCAAGGCCTCATAAAAACTTTGGGGAATAAACAGATACAGTAGACAGGGAGGACAGACTTCTGTTTCCCGGTTTTATGCCAAACGAACCGAACAGGTATCCACCGACTAGAGGTGTCTCCCTCTGACAACTCAACATAATACCCGCATGCAGCTGCACTGTCCTCCGTGTCACGTGAGACAGGCGAAGGGGCATTCAGTTCAATTGCAGTACTTGCGTCCTGGATTGTTGCTTCTGACACAGCATATCTCAGTAAAGAGGAATCCATTGCGCGAGGAAGAGTCGCATGATATCTTGCTTGCTTCAGTGTGCGAACATGAAAACGCGGCTAAATAGGCCGGCTTCAGGGGCATCTTATTCATAATTGCGTTCTTATGATTTGGTATCATTTCCGCTTTTCTAACTTCAGGATACTTTCGCTGTTTTTCACATGGTCCCCAAGTTCTCATGCATCTGCATAGTAGTATACATTAAAGGAGAGACAAATGTGTAACGAAAAGCGTTTGCGAACATTTTCCGAAGTATGTGATATGCATTTTGTCGGGACATCCTGCGTCATGTGGGAGGTGCACTCGCAATACTGCGTTCTTGAGAGGCGGATGTCAAGTAGTCACAGGACATCAGCTTGATCCATTGAATTGCTTTATTTTTTTGATAAACGCATTCATTTGCATGCCAATTTGGTTTCCACAGAAGACTCAGCTGAATCTCGTTTGTAATATTCTTTGACTGAATGTGCTGCACAAAGACTGCCTCTTGCTTCAGTCGGTTCGATATTAATACCACAAACGAACGATTTGGCTGGGTTTCAGGTGGGTTTCCCATAAAACCCAGATTGATATACGAATGAATTTGTCGAATTTCGTGCAATTGTGGTTCAAGCAGAAAATGAGGTTGACGGAAACTCCGGGACTGCACCTACCTGATGAGCCCTAAGAAGGGCGAAGCCGATCGTGGGCTATCGAAGAGCTTCCAGCTTTCCTTCACGCTGTATATCCTGTTGTGCAACTCCGATGTATTAACGATAAATGGGGATCTGTTGATTAGTTCGCTCCACACTGTGGCTGGAATTGGTTTGATCAGGTGCTCGTCCAACACTGTTGAATATAATCTCCGTGCTTTGTGTCCCCAATAGAACGTAGCCAAACGAATGTTAACATACTGCAGTATATTTTTCCTGTGAGTTATACTGTGTTGGACAACTGAGACAGAATGGTTCGAATTTCTTTCCTCCATGACATTTGCCAATTGCGGAGCTCGTTCTCAAAGCCCTGTCACTCTACCAGACTCGAATGCCATCGTAGGAATTAAAGTCTGTTTGACTGATCTGGAGCAGTCAGCCAACATTTTCTCAACTTATTTTGGAACCGTACTTCATTTCTTCTGACAGGAATTCCCCGTTGACAGGACTAAATATCCAAGGTACCGGACGTGGAACACATCCTTCCGTTCCAAATCGATCAGTATTAACTAGTTGGACTTGGCTATTTGTGGACAAATCTCGTATTTTATCCATGTCATGCTGCTCCCATTTATCTTTTATCTCTGTCTTCCATCGTCCTCTGTTCGGCTTGTCTTTCTGTATCGATTCTGCCTTTCCCAGTGATTGGTAGCAGACTGGCAAGCTTGATGCGCTCTCACAACCCGATAAACGACATTTTTTCTTGTGTATATGTGCGTGTTCGTGGACAGATCACACGCGTTTCGCCGTGACTCTTTGAGCTGGCAGATACCAGGTTTGGCCAACGTGTTTTCGCTTCAAGATATCCCTCTTTTGAAAATCGATTGTTCGGATATTTCTGCATTCTTTTTTCCTCTCTTAGTTGGAGCTCGCCTCCTTAGTGGCTACTATGTTAAATACAGACGAATATTGATTTCCATCGCGGATAGCTGCATGAGAGAGAAATGCCTGATATCGGGGATAGGGAAGCTCTGATCTATCTCAGAATCGCTCGTTACCAACCAGTAGTCGTCGATGCAGTCAACAGGTGTTTTCAGAGCTATCTGCGGTCAGCATCTTCGGTCTCTGTCGACAGTGCGGAAGCGTTAGTTTTAACTGGAAATGATTAGAAGAAAGCTCACTTGATGCGGTCGGCCCCTCAGTCGTGCAAGTGGGTTGATTTCTTCTGTTGGCTTCTTCCAGCATCACACAAAACTAGTAACTTCATTCTACTCCTCGCACACATTAATACCCATCAGATCCTGCGCATTTATTTTGTCCTATGCATACCTCCCGGTGCTTATCTCTTATCTCTAGCTACTTACGACCTTGTGTGTGGAGATGCCCGGATTCGTAAGCAGTCATCTAGATGGTGGTCTTCCAGGATTGACAACCGCTTTATGGCAGATACTTCAGCGGGTTACGAATTTCTATGTGCAACTCAAAGTCTTTTCCCGCCGACGCGATCTGCCCAGCGGTAGTCAGCTGAGTGAGGATGAGGATGTTGTTGATTCAGATGGTGAGTTTATTTCACTTCATTTCATAGCCGCTATCCACTCTTAGGCCTTCTAACCCTTGATCATTTAGTCCAGGATAAATAGCTTTGGTTGGCCTGCAAGCTTCTTCCCTCAGTTTATTCGTTCCATTATTTCTTAGGGCAATTAGTCCATTTTGCATATGCGACCACAGAAGATCGATATTCCCAATATTTAACACCCAACGGCTTGTTCCTCAGTGGATTCAACGGAACTGGGCAGACTGTGTATCATAAGTCAGACGATATGCTTTACATTGCATGATGCCAGGGACCCTGATTACGTCTCCATCTCCCTTCCGGTTCACATGTATCAGACATCTCTTTGACGAACAGCAACGGCTATACATGTAACTGGGCTTATAATGGTTCACGTTGCACAGTTGTTCACTGATAACTTGGGACCTAGGGGAGGTTAACGCTGTATTGAACGTATAGAGGTATCTATGGTTAACCATAATCCTGTGGAAATTATATCAGATAAGTATCAAACTGCACCCTCGATTGGGTTATGTTCGGTGTTTATAGCTATTGATATACCGTGATTATTGTCCAGGATTACTTATACAACAGCGCTTCTGTGGTATTGGTGAGCCAGCGAAGTCGTCATAGCAAGAGCCTATAGCAGCAAAAATAGACAGGTATGGCAGGGCCGCATAACAGATTTTAGCAGATCATTCCTATGGTAGACAAGCGTTTCTTGTTAGTATCCTTTGTCTTAGGGGGCGAGATGGCTCAAGCGAATTCACTGACGGAAGGTCCGTGGTTCGAACCCAATCTCTGCCTCTGGATTCCCCTGTCTAGTCTTGGGCAACCTGGCAGTATCTCAGCTCTCGTGCTTCCTTCGGGTAGCATGGCAGTTAAGCACCGGAAGGGTGTTACAGCTGAGCGCTTCCTTTGTCTTAGGGGAACGACTGGGACATCTTCAACGAAGTATGGGTCGAGATTACGATCCATGATTGTTAGTGACTTCTCAGGGTCACAAAAATGACGCATTTCCATGACCTCACACGACTTACCTGTGATGTGTTGTTCGGCCTGTTGCCGAGTTAATCGAAGCAACCTCATGGATTTCAGTTATTCTTTGTGGGAGACGTCGGTTGGTTCTACCGATGTAGATTTCACCACAATTGCAGATGAATTGACAGACATTATGAGAGGCAGAGTGGTCAGTTCGGATCCTTGATTGTTTGAGATGAAGCATAGTTGTGCTGACAGATAAACTCGATGCAGAGTTTACTTAACGTCTTGGCTAATATTAGGAGCTATATGGTCACCCTTAAGCGGCAAGCACATGTGCACGTCTTTTCCTTCTACAGCTTAGGCCAGGTCTTTCTTTGGTTAGTAGCGTAGTGAATTTCTCCACAAGGAGTCCCCGTCGTATCAGCATATCTGCCTTGCAGATATTTTAGTCCTGCGGAATAGAGCTCGCACTAGACCACGTTCGTAGGTTATGGGTGAAAAGCTAGAAGATTAGAAGTACTGACCAATGTATGTAGCTGTGAGGTGGAGCGAGTGTTTCGGAGTTCTGTCAGAGCGTTTGGTGATCAGCACCTTTAGGAACACTGATGTCGACGTTCCCGATACGGAGCTTTGAGTGACGCGTAGATTCGAAAATTCCGAATATCGAAAAGAAGAATTGGGTTCGAAATCCGAATAGGTAACTTCAACAGTTCTCAGTTGTCCACGTTCATAGTGTCATGAACTTCCGAGAGATGATAGTCGCATTCACAACCTCCGGCTCAGTGGGCGAAATAATTCAGAATTAGCGTGAACCTTCCATTTGAGAAGCCGCCACTCGAAGTGACAGCCAACACGTAATGTGAATTTTGTGATTGAGGGATGGGTAGCGCTATGTCCTGTCAACTACTGGCCTGGCGGTTGCGAGCTTTGTAAAATAACTTCCATTAATAGTTAAACAGTTGCTCATGCTGGCCGGTGCTACGGTGCATGTTGCACACAGTTGCTTGCATTACTCCTGGAAAGCTAGTTACGCAAAATTACCCCCATCTCTATATGTTTTTTTTATAAAAAACTAGTTGCTCCTATTGTTAGCACAGAAGTCGCGACGAGCTGCACCACTTCTGGCTTCTGTTGTTTGTTTTGTTCAACAGGTGAATCGATCGAATACGCTAACTTAGTGTATTCTTTACTGGAATTTCTAAGTGGGCTGGCCAGCACAAAGCGCTATCGATCCAAACTGGGAAGCTACCTACCAGATGTGAGCTACCAATTGACACGCTTACTTCAATTGCCGGATTCGACGGTAAGACATGGCGGCAGTTTGATGATTAGTTGGTTCACTTGTTCATAGTTGCCAACCTACTTCTTAAGAGAAGCTGTTTTTGCCGTTCCGTGTGATGAGTCGTCTAGTATGTCAGTCTCCACTCTGTCTTTCTCTCTTGTGACTCAAGGCCCTGTCACTTTAAGAGCGATTCATTTGCATAATCGATGTGAACCAAGTTGGTTGTGGTTATGAGGATTCATTCAGATAATGCTCTGTTGTGTTGCTATTCTTTAGAGCGTTCTAGATTGACCTGTTGGTTTGGTACTTTTTGCAGCTCCATCAAGGGAACCCTGGTTCTGTTGGTTTGGTTCTCACTCAGCTACTTGATGAATTTCATCGTTTATTTTTGAAGAGCATGGTAAAAAACTTAAGAACTAAATGCAGACGATGGATGTAGAAGAATTACAGGAGAATGTTAAATAAAAGGAGGGAAGCGTCCCATTCGAAGTCGTGCCATCAACAGTTCCAGTCAGACAGGTTGAATCCCAAGGTATGTAAGAATGTTTAGTATAGAAGCACGCGTATAAAGACCAGAAACCGAAGAGAGGACAGGCAATGTTGATGCTCTTCAAGGCGCGGTTAGCGCTAACACAGTCAAGACTCGCAGATCATGTACAAAGTATCCGTCATACTGGGTCTAGTGTGAGAGTTCACTTCAACACCTTCAATGAGATTGTCATGTTGTTTGTATTCATCCGGTGTAGCTGCAAGCAACGGACTAGAATGTACATCTGTTTGGTAGTATGCAGTTTTGAGGACTTTGTTATTCACGGATGCTTGATAATCTGTGTAGTTTTTTTTTCAGTTCTTTTTCGTTTCCTAAACGAATTCAGGGTTGTGTTGTGCTGAATTACTGGTAGCGATCAAGACGCGCATTACTTGTCAAGAAACTGGGTGCCGCTATAGCCTTACATCCGACCAATGTACTTTTTCTCTTCAGATTCGTCGCTGGTCCTCGAGCGTCACCGAATTCTTGGAAGATACTCAAGAAGCCCTCGGCTGCTCTGTGCGTCTGTCTGCTTTAGACGTGATGAAAGTGAGTAGCCATATGTTAAGTCCTGTCTAGACATCATCAGTGTGTTGTGAGTGGATGTACATGGTTGTTACGCGTTCATCAATTGCTGTAGAGTCTGCTCAACCAGGTTATAACAAATATTACCGACCTGATCCGCTTTCATGATGATTCCTTGCCAGTTCAAGCAACCACACTGTTTCTCTGCGTCTCAGCAGATTGATCTCAAGAATTTAAACTTAACAATGACTTCTATACGCACTAATTACAAATTATTTGGATGGTTGGCTGTATGATGGACACAAACAAAGACCACTCCTGGAATCGGCCTGCTAGTTCATTGATCACTTGCATTTCGATGCTTCTTCGACGGACTGAACGCACAAATTTGGATTTGGATCCTGAGAGTTAGGGACTAAGTTCCCGTATTGGACAGAACCTTGTGACGTAAGCTCAGCTTAGAACACGAGCGTTTATTCAGAAGAAGCTGCGTCACATGAATTACGCCACACGTTATGCGCTTCTCGCAATAGAGTGTAGCTCCACAGACAATGTTCTGATCCTCCCAAAAGTTACACTGCTGTGATCGCTTTGTCTCCGAATAAGTCTACTACTAGAAGATAGGGTTTTCGGCGGCACATCAATACAACATCTCGCCAGCTTGAGTTCGGCAGAAGGGCTGCCCTTCGTTGGCTCAATGCCCATGCTAAGCGAGATTGAAGATCCGTTTATCATAGAGGAAAATGTTGGTAGCTCAGGTAGCGTAGATGGTGGTTTATCAGTGGTTCGGCTATCATAACGTGATAAAAAGAACTCCTTGTATTTGCAGTCTGCATCTGATTGATGAGTCATCATCCGCATAGATAGGGTTATCGACGCATTTAAGACAGAAGAACAACGTTTCGCCGAAACATTATCGATCTACTTGAGTATTTTTTATTTTGTTGCTGTTGTGTCCACCGAGACGAATACCGGAGTACAACTGTGGAGGTTCTTTCTCCCGATGTAGTTCGGACTAAACGATCATCACCGTCATTTGCTCTCAGCGGTCCGCTTTCGGTAAGAAATACTCAATCATTATGTTTACCTCGGTAGTACCAATTGACTAACAGTTTGATCATGCCTTTGCAGATAAGCTCTATGGTTGCGGTTAGTCTAGCTAGAAGTCAGGTCAAATTGTTGAGCTGCCACATTTTCCATGAGTAGTTGTTATGGTGGGCCAACCTACTACCATTGTAACGGTGGTACTGTTGATGGGGAGACACGCGAGTAGTTTGTGTTATTCGTGGAATTTCGCTTTGCGTCTTTTGAAAAGGGGAGATCTGTTGCGGAATTCGTGGAGTCACTTTGTTACATTTGCTTGGATTTAAGCGAGGAATGATTGGAGTCATTCAATTTCCAGGAAAGTTGAAGAAGACGCGTTCGGGAGAAGATGGGTGTCCGTAATAAATAAGTAAATAAGATGCAAATTAGAGTTTTGCTTTCCTGTTCAATGGTCTGTAACCGGTCAGTTGGCATTCTTTAATAAATAACTCCGCAGCGAAGGCCTTCTTCTTTTCGCCATAAGTGAAGTGGGCACTGTTGGATTGATAATTTCTTCCCGAGAGGACCTCTTACCGCAACTTGTGTATGACATAGATCCGATTGGCACAGAAATCACTTTCAACGCACCACTCGCATGAATTTTGTATGATGGACTTTCGAATGGGTTTAGTTCCACACAAAAAAACAGTTGTTTTCTCCCACCAGATTTCTTAAGGGAACGAGATGTAATCAAGTGCGAAATGTGGCGATCCACTGATTTCCCTAATAAGAAGTTACTTGGACTAAACATAAGACTAACCTCCTTCCATGTTTATTGTTAATTATTTGGAAGGTATCGGCGAACAGTTGTATCCTCTATAATGCCTTGGGTAGCTACAGAACAATCTTTCATCCGTCCTCTTAATTTCGTTTCAATGCTGCCTTGTGGTCAGTTTGGCCTCGCTATCTCATCCAATCGTGAGGTCTTCCGTCATTCTATGGCATGGAGTTCGGTTTAACTGTGTTCTGATTTTCGGTCGTGTTATCCATTTTTCTCCGCCTAAGCGCTGTGATTCTTGCTGTCGTACGTATTTGCAGCGGTGCACGAGGACTCCCTGCCAACCTGATGTGTTAGTCCTTAACACATTTTTTTTCAGAAGTTTTCAGAGCTCTTCCCTGGTTGGTCGGTTAGCCTAAACAAGACACTAAATCAATTGTTTTCGACGGCCGAATTGCAGCATTCAAGGGGTGATCCTGACTGGTAAGCTTCACCACTGGTATTCCTTACTGTCACCGTGTTATTCTTTCAGCTACATTTGTGTTTGATTATTGGATCAGTATTGTGCCTGTAAACCTGATGGTATTTTCAGGCCTATAGAGTTATCACCATCGTCTTTGACATCGCTATTCCAGTAATACATGCGGATTCTCAACTACCATACAGCCACAACGGAAATAAGCCTTAGTAGAGTCGAACGAAAGGGGAAGAGTAGGGATGTGGTGCGATAAAGCCCTACGTCATTAGCGGTGTCTACACCTTTGAACAGCACTGAAATAAACGCACGTGAGCCTCACGTCAGAGTAAGCCGCTATCAGCGGGAATGACCCAGCGTCCTTTGCGAACTTCGCCTTGTCTGTTGGACAGACTCCAAGTCATGAACGTCGAAGTATCCAAGTAGAGAGCAATCGACCTGGCTATATGTTTCGCAAGCAGTCAAAGGTCTGCAACCGTATACGCCTACCTACTGACTTATCTTGTGGTCACATTGCGAACTTTTGCTTTCCGTATGTATTCTCACTGTTTCTGGTGGAATGTTAGAGTAAGATGTAAAATGCTGTGGCCTTCCGTTCCATTTGAGTGTGCCTTGATCAACTGAACATTTGTCAGTTGCTGAGCTTTTCCCTAATTCAAGAGTGTGCACCTAGAATGGATTGCAGTCATGATCTAGAATACTGCTGCATGGATTTCTGTTTGTACTTTGGCTAGCAAGGATACTGTCTGGCGTGCTTTCGGTCACTTCCAACCGTTATTAGAGTATATCTGAAGCACAGGATGAAACACTGAATCAGAGCATTTTATTACCTGTGTCCTCTCATCTCACTTTCATAACTTTTCAGGTGGAAATTACTGGAAGTAGCCCTGTTGCTTGTGGGAACGTTTTCTTCGTGTTTGTTCCTGCACCAAGCAGACGGTGCCCCAGACGTTCAGACTGCCAGTGTACCAATTCGGCTTGATACAATTTGCAGCCGTTACCTCCTCCCCAGTTTGAGGCAGTCTGGTAAGTAACTATCATGCAGAACCTACGCATCTGCGCATGTTGATTTCAAACCCTTTCTACCTTAAGCTATATTTCTTTCGAGGAATCGGTTTATCATCTCTCGATATCTCTGCGCTTTGTTCTCATTTACCTTCGTTGTTCCCTTCCTCTCAGTTGACGTACCATAACATGGATTTATTTATCTGTTTCAGTCCTTATTAAGTTTGCTTCCCACTAAGCCTAAACTTATGCCATGTATGAAGATTTACCAGTCTTTTGAGATACTTAGCCTCCTTCCTACAAGGAGCGTTTCTAGACCGATCTTTTCATTAGTGAGATTACTTAGACGTGTCTACCGAAAGCTCATAAAGCAAAAGCAGGCTGTGGTGTCCTCGGTCACGACGGTCGCTATACGCTCAGTACTGATTAGTTTCAGGAACTGAGATTCCGAAGCCCCTCTTTTGGCTACCTGATCACATCAGGAAACAACGACAGCTTATGCACACGCGGGGTGTGCATGGCTTCGCTGCAACTAGTAGTATTTACCGTAAATAACAGCCTACTCTTAATTTAGTAGTAGCGTGGCTTCCTCTGAAATATGTGTAGCTTTCCAAATGGACCTGTTAGAGGCGTCCGCATGATTTCAAAGCCGTCGTGCCGTACGAGCTGAGTTTCCCACTGTGCTTCTGTCCCGTTCCACCGACAGTTCCACATGCTTTTGTACGCCATCCTATCGGGGCCTCATCAACATGCTATGACTTTCATATCTGGATCCTTTCCCGGTGACGTTGGCAGAGATTGAAAATCGACTGGAACACAAAACTTCATGCAGCCTAAACTAAGCGACTCGATGGATATCACCCTTTTTTCGGTGAAACTAGCGAGTCACTAGACCTTCCTAATAGGGACTTCCAGAAGCAGGAGGTTGAACTTTTTGTCGGCCTGACAAGAAGGTATTGTAACACACTGACATACTAGGTGCTTTTAATTAAGTATAGAGCCAGTTGCGATTGATTCGTACCACCTGGCATTCCAAAGGGTTAGTACGTGCATAGATGAAACGTTTTTCTGTCATACAGAGGCATTTCGTCATGCGAAAGTAGTACATATAATTTTGTGAATATTCCTTACACGGAAGCACATGGTCGTTTCTTTACGTAAATTGCTTTTCTGATAGAGAATACCCCTGGGAATGAAACACAGTATCCTCTGTACAGTGCAGCTGGCCTTCCACACGTATCTGTCTGATTACGCGTCTTTACTTTCAGATCTTCCGTTTCTCAAGGTTGCAGCGCTTCACTGTATTGCTCGACTATCCATACATGATTATCCCGGTGGGCCACGACTCGAAGAGTGAGTAGCTTTTTCAATTTTTTTTCACATAGTTCCCATCATCTTTTGATGAGGTATCTGCGTTTTATGCTTTGAGAAACTGTTGTACATTTGTAGATATGTGATCAGCTTGACAAACCGACTATCAATCACAATACGCTGCTTCTCCCATTCTGACAAAATATAGTTACTCATGTTGCTTTTTCATTTGCTTTTCATGCGAGTTAGTGATATACATTAAAGTAGACTGCTCAATGCCTTAGCAATGTTCCCAACACAAGCTTGGTAATCGTTCGCTTTCACATTTGCACCTCAGTCGGTTTATTCTCATTTTATTATGGATCGTTTTCCTAGAAAGATAAACTGGCTTCATAAATGTCACATCGGGTTATTTGGGAAGCATCACTGATGTTTGGTACCAGTGATTTCTACGACACTACTCGGCTGTTGTGGCGCATATTGCCTTCGACTGATTGCCTTCCGACTGATTTGTCACTCATTTATACCCGTTGCTTAGTAGGATAGACCAAGTTCCGTAAATCAGTCGGTTGAGGTGATTCCAGGGTGCCGTACTTTTAGGTATTATCTTGCTTGTTTCGTGTGTCATTTTTTAAACCTTATACCTCCCCAAATTCACTACAGTTCTCCCTCATTTGTCGTACACTGGTGACAACTCCATCCTCAGCCCATTCCACCGCGAGATCGGTTGCACCGAACTCTACCTACCTCTAAAAGGAGGGAGAAAGTTTTGGCATTAGAAGACACACTGTGGCCAACGTGGTCCCGTTTACCGCGACTGAATATGGAACACCCGAATAGTACATCGCAATTTATATGGGAAACGTGCATACGATTCAATACAAGAACTAAAAGGCGGAAACAGGAGGTCAAAGGTTCAATTTGTCAAAAGGGTCAGGTCATTATTAGAAATACTTGATTGGGCTCGTAGTTCATACAAATCTATTATGAGTGCATAGGTCAGGAGTGCTCAGGCGAATTGCAATTGCCTCAGCTATGGATAGGACAGGCTTCTTTCGGATTGTGATCGATTGCTGTTTTATGAGTAGATATTCATTCAGTTCAGTTTTCAGACCATGAACCGTGAAACTTTTTCACCGTGATTCGGGTAGCCGCTGCTTGCGGAGGCAATGTAAGAAAGAAGGCGTACATAAAACGTTTAAAAAACAAAATAAAAAGAACAACGGACTACTGGCTCGGAAGAAGAGAATTGATACAACATTACCACTGATTGCGTGGCATCGCCACGTCGGTGCTGGGTTACTGACATTCCGACCCTCCAGACGGAGTGCGCCAAGACAGCCAAGGCTCTTTGTTATGTTTTTTCGTTCTCTGTCTCCATTTCGTGTGTTGTCCACCTGGTGGCATATATCAGTTGGAACCTGTCCGAAATCTGCGTCATCGCGCCGCATCTAGCCGCAACGGCTCACATAAGAGAATGGTTGGGCCTTTCGCATCATCTACCAGGTTCCGGTCCACCGTTCTCCGGTGATGTGGTGTCAAGGGACATCTGCTGTTGGTTTCACCAATCAAAATCCGAAATGTAAATGAAGTGGACATTCAAAAGTTATCGGATTTTTTATTCGGTGTGACGAAAGTACTTCCTTATATGGACGGTCAAAACTTGTTGCTTCGAGGAATTGTCTAAGGAAGTGGTACGTATCTGAACGGTTTACGATCAACGACTAAACGTGACCTGAGGACGAGCGCACAGATCCTCAGCTATGACGGGATCCCAACCACTTCTGCGCAGAGAAAAGAAGACCGGAACTTCGGAGGAGAGCTTTCACGGCCTCAACCAAAGGCGAAGTCAGCGGAAGCATCGTCGAATATATATATATATATATATATATATATATATATATGTATAGCAAACCTACTGGGTAGGTTATAACTTTTCTGTGATTTGTCCGTGGATTGAGGGTTGCTACACGTCCAGTTCTGTCATAATGACTGAATTTAATATGTACATCAATTCCGCTTCTATCCAGAAAA